GGGTGCACGTGGGTCCGATGCAGCTGGGCATGTAAGGCCTCTGTGCCCTAATTCCAGTTTCAGCCGCTTCCTGGGTCTGATGCTGATGTTGCCCACGAGGCAGTAGCCAGGACCCCAAATCCACAGACCTTTTCCATGCACCTACCATAGACCGTGTCACCACCCGCCCCCAGTCCTAGAGCTCTGGGGCATGCCCACTGGAGACTTCTGGGAAGCTGGCCCGGACCCTGTATGGCCAGCCCAGAGACTCCACGTGCAGAGACTGGGCCTCCTGGGAGCCAGACCTGGGCCACTGTGCCAGAGGCACCACCCAGATTTCTGCTAGATCTTGTAACTATGGGAGAGGGCTTCTTGTCACTCCAGCCCCCTGGGAGCCATGAGTGAGTCCTAAAAGGAGAAACCCCAAAGAGGGATTGAAAGTCTGCATGATCCCTCATACCATGACCTAGGGGTATCCTTGACTTTGGTCCATGGAAAGTGAGGCAGCCTCTGAGTTGACCGCATTGCCAAAATGGGACAATTTTCCAGTTATTTTATTGACAGAGTAGAGGAATGAGGGGTTACCAGCACTCAGTAAAAGCAAGCCGGTTATAATACACACACGTATGACCAGTTGAACCATGAAATCAGCCAGGTCACGGCCGAGTCTTCTGGGAGGCTTATAGTACAGCGGGTGAGACCACAGAGCCAGAATGCCTGAGTATGAATCCCAGCTGCCTTTCTTGTCTCATCCGTACAATGGGAACAATACTGTTACTGACTAGTATTATAATTATTGTGAGGATTAAATCAGATAATACATGTAAAGTATGAAAAGTGTCTCTTGCACTTAAAAGCTCCAAAGATGGGGCACCTGGATGGCTCAGTCGGTTAAGCGTCCGACTCTTGATTGCAGCTCAGGTCATGATCTCAGGGTCTTGAGATCAAGCCCCGCTTCGGGCTTCTCGCTCAGCACAGGGTCTGCTTGAGATTCTCTCTCTCCCTCTCCCTCTGCCCATCCCCCTGCTTGTGCGCCCACACGTGCACGCTTGTTCTCTCTCTCTGAAATAAATCTTAAAAAAAAAAAAAAGCCCCAAAGATATCAGGTGTTATCAGCATTATTATTATTACTCTTCCTTTGTGTTAAGTACTCAAAGTCATTCACATCTGGTTCCATACGATGTCGCGAATGTCAGGGCATTTTCCATTTCAGCACGGGCATAATGGTTCCTTTGTGCCCTGGGCAAGTTCCATCTCCTTGCACATGAACTTGTATTTGGCTAACAAAGCTGCTCAGCATCTCTGAGCACTCCTACCCCACTGAGACAGTCGAGGTGGTGTAGCATGAGCCAGCTCCTCGGTATAGACGAGGTGCCCCCCACCCCAGGTTTTGTTCAGCAGACCCGGGAAGAATGCACCTCTTTAATCCCCATCTTGCTGACTCTCTGGTCATCCCCCTGGTTCAGCCTTTCGCCACGAGTGATTGCTTTCCAGCAGGTTAGCAAGTGTCAGTGGTCTTGAGAAGAGCTTCTGTTGCCAGTCAGTTTGAATCTCCTCCTTTCCCCGGCGGGCTTCGGAGCGGGCTCTACCTCTGTAGTATTGAGCACCTGCTGTGTGTGCACTGAGCAGCCTGCTGGGGCACCTGGGCGCAGAGCCCGCTCCCTCCCCTCACTCAGCACCTACAAGGAGAGCGGGAAGCTGCAGGACCTGGCCAGTGTAAGCTCCAAGCTGAGTGTGGTGTGGGCAGAAGAAGCCGAAAAAATCACTGCAAGGCACTGACGAGGGCCTCCAGATCGGGGAGGGACACGGAACACATAGTTAACAAGGACTTTGCAGAACATGAAGGAATAAATCAGCCCTGGGTAAAGGCCTGGGGTGGAAGGAGGACCCTCTAGCTGGGGTGATTGAGAAGTTCCTCTTACCCCAGATCTGAAGTGGCTGAAAAGGACCTAAAACTTCACTGGCCTGCCCCCTCGGGGCCTCCCCTCCACCAACCCTGTGGGAGTCCTTTCTCTTCCCATGTCAGGAAGCAGGATCTGCACAAGGTTACACCGTGTGCTGAAGACACAGAGCCGGGATGGACACTTCTACGATATTTTCAGGGGTCTCTTCCAGAACGTTCTAAAGACATTTTATTGGAGCTAAACTGATGTATTTTAAAAGCCTCAGGGGAGCTGAAGCCACGGCCTTTGTTCAGAAAAGGGCCCACCGGAGAGCTGCCCTGTGCCTGCCCGGCAGCTCCATGCACACAGAAGATGCTGATTTTCAGGCGCACTCTTGGAGGGGCCTCCTCAGCTTCGGCTGCTCTCAGTTGACTCGGTGACTCAGCACTTTTAGGATGAGCAAGAGCGCCCTCATAAAACATCCCTCCGTGCACAAACAGCCTCATTCTGACTTTTAAGGCGATGGGGTTGTCTCAACCGTCCAAGAACAATAAATCGCTTCGAAGGCCAGAAACATGACTCCTGGTGTTCGGAACCCTACAGCTGTATTTGCGTTTCCTTCCCCAACCAAAGTTACTTTTAAGCGACTCCCCGGTCACAGCCCCGATCACAGAGAGCGAACCGAGATTTACTATGTCTGATGTGTTTATGACCACAGACGTTTTCATGTCTTCCTTTAGCATATTCTAGTCGCTGTCCTAGAGGCCTTCCTTGAGAGGTATCTTTGCTGTCCCCATCTTCGTTTCCTCTTGGAGCATTTATTCTCAAACACAGAAACTACTCTGTCTTTCTAAAAGTAGAATTCCAGGGGCGCCTGGGTGGTTCAGTCAGTTAAATGTCTGCCTTCAGCTCAGGGTCCGGGGATCAAGTCTGGCATCGGGCTCCCTGCTCAGTAGGGAGTCTGCTTCTCCCTCTCCCTCTGCCTGCCACTCTGCCTACTTGTGATCCCGCTCTCTCACTCTGTCAAATAAATAAAATCTTTAAAGAAATAAATAAATACATAAAAGTAGAATTCCAAAGGCCCTGCGGAGGAGGGGGAAGGCACCGGGGGCAGTGGGCCCAGGCCAGGCGGCACTGTTTACCTGTCCCCATTGATGTGTTCCAGCTACCTTCTGCCACACCTCCTTCCATCCAAACCCGGCCTGGACACTCACGGAATGCGGCACCCCAAGGCCAACACCATTCAGAGAGTGTTTAAGATGAGTTTTGTTCCTGTCGGCTTCTGGCAAAGGTTTATAGCACGGATGCTGATCAGCCTGGCGGAGATGGACCTGCAGGTAGCCGCAGTTTCTGCTTGGGTGTGGGGGGGCGGTGCGTGCTCAGGGCACCTGGAGTCGTGCCCTCACGAGGAGAGGCCCTTTGCTGGAAGATCTTGACCGAAACCCCTTTTCCTGCAGCAAAGCTGCTGCCTTAGGCCCCGGAGGCCGGCATGAGCATAGCTGCCTTCTCTTCTGTCGGCCGGCAGACCCCTTTGCGCCATCCTGTGAATACCAAACCAGCACCTAGCTGGTTCCAAATACGCGTTTTAGGAGCCGTGGTTGTAAAGCAATCCACACCAGAAATCCCCTGGAAGGCTTGTTAGAACAGAAATGGCTGGGCCCCCTCAGAGGTTCCGATGCAGTGGGTTTGGACTGGGACCCAGCATTTTTCGTATCTAACCACTGTCCCCGGTGATGCCACGTGTTTAGAGACCACACATGGAGAACCGTGGTTTTGCCACTCGGGCGGTGCACCAGACTCCCCTGGGGAGCTTCTAACAGACATGGGCAGAGCCCAGGCTACCTAAATTAGGATTTCTGGGGGCGGCACCCAGGCGTTGGGAGTTTTTAGAGCTTGCCAGGTGATTTCACTGTCCAGTCAAGCTCGAGAACCGCAGGTGTAGATCTTTAACTTGGTCTGGAAGCAATGAAGACCTGACCCCAGGAGTTCCTTTCTGTGGGTTCACCTGGGGGGTTGAAAGGAGTCCTGGCTGTCAATGTTAATTTCATGCAAAACAGTAACATGAAAATAGTATTTGGCTGGAGTGGTGTTTCTCAAAGTGGGATTCCTGGACCAGCAGAAGCAGCCTTACCTGGGAACTTGTTAGAAATGCAAATCCGTGGGCCCACCCCACACCCACTATGTCAGAAACTCCAGATGGAGCCCAGCGCTCTGTTTTTCACAAACCTTCCGGGGGATTCTGACCCACTCTACAATATTAGCACCCCTGGCGTAAACTTGGACTGTTGAATAATTGATGTTAAATTCAGCATGGGTTTATTTTTGCCACATTCTAATGAAAAGGCCCTTATGGAATTAACAACCCCGTGGCTAGATAAAGATATTCTTTGATCTTCCCATTTTACTGAAATGTTTAAAAAAAAAAACAAACAAAAATGAGAGTCTGAAAATCTAACTGCTGTGGCCCATGCTGGGGTGGGGGGACTTGTTTGCAAGGCTTGGGGGGCCCACTGATGATGGGAAGAGTGGGTACAGGAGCTGGCCGGTCTACAGTTCTGATTCGGTCACTCTGCCCTCCCTTTGAACTGTCCTCCTGCCGCGTTCTAAGTGGGAGGTCACAGAACACAGGGTTGTCATCGTGTGAGGCCTGAGCTCCCAAGTGGGCTCCGTGTGGGGGGTGGGGGGCCCAGCTGGGCGTGGAGGCAGGCGCCCTTCCAGGCAGCATCCCTCCCTCCGAATGAGAGGAAAAGTCCCATTGAAATTCAGATGAGGAGAGGGAGTTCAGTTTCAGGAGTAATCAAACGCATACAAATTCAAGCAACAGATGAGATGCTGCCCACTTCGCACCTCTCAAATCAGCAGACTAAAGCCACATTGCCGGCCCCAGGAGCTTCACGTGTTCACATACTGTGGTCAGTGCATATATGGTCTAATTGTTTCAAAAGCGGTTCCTCGGTCCATATCCAGATCCTAAAAAAGTTCGGACCCTTTGACGCAATAATCCTACTGCTAAAAACGTGAGCAAAGGAAATCATTCGAAATCAGAGAACACTTTGTGACTTTTCATGGTTCATTGGCCCATTTGAGGGAGCGAACGATTGGAACAACCTAAATATTCAAAGAAATGAATGATCTGATTGGGAAGTCACTGTATTTCACAAAATATTGAGCTTTAGAAAAATGGCTTTTATATGAGTTTTTAGTGGCATAAGAACAGTGAAGTTTTTAAAAGCATCCAAAATGAGAAATTTAGATATTTAGAAATAGAAAATATGGCTTCAGCTGTTTTCCAAATGTATACATAGACAGAAAAAAAAAAAAATCCTGGAATAAAAGTTACCAAAGTCTCTCTGCTTAGTGTTAAGTTGTTTCGGGGTTTTTTGTACATTTTTCTGTAATTTCTACATTTTCTAACGTGAATTTTTGCTTGTCAAATCAGGGAGGGAAAAGGTTTGAAAAAGAAGAGCCTAGTATCAATCCTTTGGGAAAAATGTGCTCCCAGGGTGTCGTGGGGATCTTCCAGATAATGCAGTGTTTAATTTGGCAGCAGGATGCGTGGTGCGGGAGGAGGGGCTGGGAAAGACAGGGGTCATTTATCACGACGGGGCCAGGCCAGCCTCTTCATAGCTCTGCCCGGGGCCAGCGAGGAGGCTAGAATACTTAAGCAGGGTCTTTTCTCTGTCTTTCAGCTTTTTGAAAACAGGAAGAATACTAAAAGCAGACACAGGAAAGTCACCATTTATAGTTTTACAGGAAGCCAGAGAAATCGCTGCAGCACATTCAGAGTGAAAAGAAATCAGACCATCTACTGGCAGGAAGGGCTCCTGGTCACTTTTGATGGGGGCTACCTCAGGTAGGAATACTCGGGAATGCACCTGATGGGGTCACCATGGTGCTGTGGGAACAGCCCGTGTGGCGGCCTCCTCCGGAAGACCGTCCACTTCGTGTCCAGAGTTCTACCAAGAGTGGCTTATCACGGCAGCCTGCTAGAAATAGGAGACCCTCCCCTGCAAATGTCGAGCTCCCTCATCTCCTCCCCGCTCCTCCTCTCCCCTGGCAGGACAGGAGAGATGAGGGAGGGTATGGTGACCACAGCCCAGGACTTGAGGGAAGTGGGCGGCCACTGAGCTCCGGGTGAAAGCCTCTGGCACCTCCGTGGTCACTTAGGTGACACCTACAGGGGCCTTGCTGCCATCTGGCCCTGTCCCGTGTCCTAAATGATGATGGCCCAGGTGACACCATGGATCCTCCACGTGACATAACAAGATCCATAACTTAGCTCCCTTTTCCTGGTTTCTTTCCTTTTTTGAGAAAGAGAAAGACAGCTCAAGAGGTTTAATAAGTGACTTCTAATCGGCTTTAATAAACACAAAGGATTATTTCGTATTTACATTGAATTTTTCAAAATATTCTTCAGCTCCATGAGAAGAGAAGGAGAAGGGGAAAGGATCTTCTTTTGAGGGCCTGACTTGAGCCGTTCTTGGTGCCTGGTACTTTCATATAGATGTACCCACTTAAAGCTCACAGCTGCCACCTGGCAAATGAGAATCTTGTAGTTCAGAGAAGGCAAGAACCTTCCCTGAGGTCACACCTAGGGGTCGATCCCTGCCTGAGCATCCCTTACTGCAAAGTCCCCGTGATGTCCGCATCACAGGGCTGGGAAGTGGTGGGAGGACAAGGCAGGGTCACACACACAAGTACACAAACACAGGGGTCCCCCTCACCGTCCTGCCTGGGCACAGGGTCCTGGGGTAAGGGTGGGGGTGGGGTGGTCCCTGGGGCTTGGGTCTCAGCCTGGAGGCAAGGAGATCATTCCGGGGCCCTCCAAGGCCGGATCACAGTGGGCTCTTCGTTTCTGGGTTGCAGTGTGGAATCCTCAGATGTGAACTGGAAAAAGAAAAAAAGCGGAGGAATAAAAATCATTTGCCAGTCAGAAATGAGGGACTTCTCTGCCATGGCTTTTATCACAGACCATGTCAACTCCCTGATTGATCAGTGGTTTCCCGGTAAGAGAACGTTCTTGAACCAAGTCTTTGGTCATGTTAACATTTCTTTACGAATTAGGGCGGGGCTCATTATTTTGGGAGCAGAAGTCTCACTGGGATTCAGCGCACAGAAACCAGAGAGGTCCTACTGGCCCTTTGGCAGAATCCCGATCCCTGGGGGCATCCGGCTGTGACCTGGGTTTGGGCACTACGGGGAAGACATGGGCCCAGACCCCACAGGATGTGTGCAGGCCTTAGCCTCGGGGCTGCCCACAGTGTGTGGGAAGACAGACAAGCCCTGGGTGCCCCACGTGGTCCAGGAAGACCCTCAGTGTGAGTTTCTCACAGGTCTTGTTTACACAGTGAGGACAGTGCTGAAATCTGAGGGGACTCCATGGGCGGGGTGGGAAGGCAAGGGAGCCACACCTGTCAAGGACCCCCATTTTCCTTTCCTGCCTGCCCCCACCCCCAAATCCCAGAGGTGACCAACCACCCACATGGCCCTTTGATCAGCTTCTTCATTGACAGTCCACCCAAAAAAACACTTTTTGGAGTGAAGCTTTTGAGGCCCTCTGTTTTGCTACCAGAGTGGGAACAAACCCGTGGAGTGTTCTGCAGGGAGGAGGCTGTGAGGGGCAGACCAGGCAGCCTCTTCCCCATGAGCCCTCAGCCTCTGAAGGCTGGTGGCTGAGAGAGCAGAGAATGGGTTTGGACTCCAAGACCTGCTTGGCCAGCGCCCTCACCTCCCTGAGCTGGCGTCTCTCCTGCCACATCACTGTGTCCCAGGACAGCGTCAGAGGAGATGCTTAAGGAGCATGGCAGGCCGTGCTCCGGACGCATGGTCTGGACACCGGGGCCTGGGGGCCTTCCAGGGCTGATGGGAAAGCTGACCTATAAGGAAAAACGCTTAGAAAGGGGCCAACAGGGACACTTGGGTGGCTCAGTCAGTTAAGCATCCTACTCTTGGTTTCTGCTTAGGTCATGATCTCGGGGTTCTGGGATAGAGCCCTGTGTGTCGGCCTCCGTGCTCAGCAGGAAGTCTGCTTGGGATTCTCTCTCTCTCTCTCTCTCAGATATATAAATAAATCTTTTTTTAAAAATGAAAGAAAGAAAGGGGCCCAAGAGAAGGCAGTTTGGTGTGTGACTTGTGGCAGTTTGGGTATGTTTGGTCATCCAAGGAAGCCTCTAGACCCATATGAGCCTCCCTGGGCTTTTGTGACGCCCCGCCAACCAGTGAGCCCCACAGCAGGTGCTGGGGAGATTTGACAGCTTGGTGGGGGGAGGCATTCGATCATCACCTGAGACAGGGCTGCTCAGGATGGCAACTGGCAAGATGTGTGACACACGGGCCTGCAGATAGCAGATGCGCCCAGAAGGTTCCAGGAGACCCCTCCTACCCTGCACAAGGCAGGCCATCAGCTCACCCTGAGGTGCCTTGGAGGCTACTTCTTTGCACCTCCTTTCAGAGTGTGTGGAAAAGCTGTGTGCCTCTTGCCCCGGGGAACACAGGTAAAATGACTAGGTTCTGTCTATCTTATAATTTGTACTCATTTCTCCCCCCTGCCTTGCTCTTCTAGGAGGGATCATAGTAATTGCAAGCCTTATGTTTCTAATTTTAAGAATAGCTCCTTATTGGTTGTGGTTCAGTTTCTGGAGCACGGCATAGCTCAGACGCAGCCCGCAGCATCCTGCCGGGGCCCAGCTGTGCAGGAGGGATCCCCAACCTCTCAGCCCCTCCTCAGCCAGCCCGCTGAGGATCTAGACCACCCACCGGCTGTCCAGTGCATCCCTGACCTTTCCCGGTGCTGGGCTTTCAGGATCTTGCTCTCCAAAAAAAGAACCCAAGGATACAGTCATGGTTCAGCCACTCCCTAGGGTCCAGGCAGGAGCACCCAGACCCCCTCCTATGAAAAGCCCACCCCGCCTGGGTGCTGCTCAGGGACCCACCTGCGGCCGCCTTCATGTAAACTATCTCCTGCTCTGTCCCCATTTAGCCCTGACGGCCACAGAGAGCGACGGGACCCCGCTCATGGAGCAGTATGTTCCCTGCCCCGTGTGCGAGACCTCCTGGGCCCAGCACACGGACCCGAATGAGAAAGCAGAGGGCGTGCAGTACTTCGACATGGAAGACTGCGTGCTCACAGCCATTGAGCAGGACTTCATCTTCTGCCCCAGACACCCCGACCTCCCCGTGCCTCTCCAGGAGCTGGTTCCCGAGCTGTTCATGACCGACTTCCCAGCCAGGTAGGCCACCGTGCCCCTCCTCTGATTCCTACTTTCCTGCCGGCTCAAGGACGAGAAGGCGGATTCTCCTCGTGTTCGAGAAGGGGGCGCTCCCAGGCCTACAGCCTCATTTTCCTCTCTTGGCAAATGCTGATTCCTACCTGCTGCCCTCAGGGTGGGCATTTGGATCCCCTACATCTGTTCTTGCAGCGAGTCAACCTCTGACCTCAGATAATGACTGGGGAGAGAATGCTGGAGAAATAGAGAATGCTTTGTGGTCCCACCCAACAGGAAATGGTCACAAAATCCGAGTGCTGGGGAAAAGATGGACGGTTCTATAGTCATGGAAACCAGAAGCTATGACTCAGTGTCCCTGGAGATAATTTGACATTGGCAGTTACCAACTGTTTTGGAGTTATGAAGTCCTGTTGTTGTCTTAGTCAAAGGATTGCTATCTCTGGCTTCTTTAAAGAAAAGTAAACTTTTGGGGGGTGGTAGTAAGAATATTTATATTCTCATTTTTCCAAATTGCCCCCCATCCCAAAGAATCCATGTGGAGTCCTCTGAGATATTGCAGGATTGGGGTCGGTCTATCAAATTAAGAAATTGCTTCCTACATTGGATGGTGTCCCCCCAGAGCCCTTTCTAGTCACCCCAGTTACCTCGCTGGTCAAAGTGATAATTAAACACCGCTCTTCTGCAAAATGAGCTCCCTTTATTCCTAGAACTCTAACGTGAGGGCTATCGTTTCTCGGAGACCACGTGCCGAGTTGTGTAGATGCATGAATCAGATTTTTGGGGGAGGGGGGCCCAATGAGGCATCGTCAAATGTTAGGATTTTCATTTATTTGCTGAACCTTGTTGGGTTTTATGCCCCGACTAAATCTGGGCTGTGGCATCTCCTGTATGAAATCGGGAAAGCCAGATTGGTTTGGATCGAATGGCAGGCCATAGCATGGTTCTTCACTGAAGGTACTTGGCCGGTAGTTGAAAAGCCTGACAATGTGGACAGGATTCCCAGCCCAGCAGAGGGTCCCTGGAAACTTGAGCTGGGGCCCAGCTGGGGCCCTAAAGCATCACGCTCCAGGAGTTTTGGTGGGTCAGGGTTGCGGGAGTTACCAAGTATCCAGGGAGCCCTGTCCTGTGGCCCCGAGTTTACAGGAGTCCTAACAGAATGGCCTGAGGGATCCCCAGCATTCCTGCTGCTCCCCGTGCCCATTGGGGAGGCTCCCAAGGGCCCACACTGCCCAAGCAGGTGGTTTGAGGGGAGGGCACTTGGAGAAGAGCCCAGCTCCTCTGCAGCACCACCAAGGGCTCCAGGGGAGTGCAAAGCATGACGTTGAGCTGGGCAAAGGCTGAGCAGCTGCAGAATCTGTTCCTGGAAGGCATGGAAAATAACTGCCTGGTGGGGTCAGCCTATGGGGCCAGGAGGGCTCCAGTGGAGGCACCTCATAGGCAGCTGGTGAGGGACCCAGAGAGACTCAGCAGAGCAGGGGGAGGTCCTGAAGTGGGAGGGCCTCTGGGCTGCCCGCCCCTCCCTCCCTGCCTCCTATCATCCCCTTCTCGCTCCCTCCCTCCCAGGAGTGACTTATGGTCTTTCCAAGAGCCCAAAAGAAATCTCCCCTTTACCTAGGATTAGAACACACAGACCAGGGAGGTCTAAACTCCCTGCCCTTGGGTGGAATCCTAGCCATCGACTGTGCACACACGGCTCATGCCGGTCAGAAGGCCTCCGCGGCCGCTTACATCATTCCTCGCGTAATAAAAAGAAATAAGGAAATGACCAACCTAGCAGTAAATAAATGCAGCTTGTCTGATGGATGCTAGCTCTCAAAGCACGGAATCTTTGGGAAGAAAACATCCAAAAGAGTTTTCTGTCTATGAGGGCCACTTGGCCTGGCTTCCCCCGGTGCTAGCCACCATGCATGCCTACGAGGCAGTTTGCATTATGAGCCCACTTTACGGAGGAAACCCAGGCTTGTTGAGGCCACATAACCTGCCTACAGCCATGGGTTATCCTGGATCTGTCTGACCCCACGGGTGGCTTTGAACTATGACTCCCTGCAGTGGAAGAAATGACCAAGGGTGTCCTCACATCCACCCATCACCAGCCTCTCCAGGGAGCGGTAAGGGACCGGTTAGGGAGGTCTGACCCGTGTGCTGTGTTTCTGGCAGGCTCTTCCTAGAAAACAGCAAGCTGGAGCACAGCGAGGACGAGAGCAGCGTCCTGGGCCAGGGCGGAAGCGGCACCATCATCTACCGGGCCCGGTACCAAGGCCAGCCTGTGGCGGTGAAACGGTTCCAGATCAAGAAATTCAAGAACTTGGCCAACGCCCCAGCGGGTAAACAGGGCCCCGTGTTGTTTCTTTTCAGACACGTGCTCCCACGGAAGACTTGGGGAGACTGGAAGAGGAGAGGAGGGGGGACGAGGCTAGCGGAGGGCCCTGGGCAGCCGACCTGCCTTGTTCCTGGCAGGATGTAGGATAGGCCTAAACGTCAGGCTGAGCTGAGCAAAGCTTGGAAATTGTTTGGGGAGATTATTTTCTTGTCTAGATGCGAGCCCCCAAGAGCACGGGCCATCCCTACAATTTCCATCTGCTTCGTGGCCGTCACAGGCCTGGCAAATGGTGGGTACACACTCAGACGTCAGGTGGACCCCTTACCCCGCAGGACCCCTCTCAGCCATCGCCACTGAAGGAAGGAAGGTGGCAGTCCAGGTGAACGGATGGGGAAGCCAGCATGCGCCCTCCTTCTCTGCCACCCACACGAAGGAGGAAGGAGACACCCTCTTGCACACCAAACACAGCTCAGAGCTGCTATCTACCTAGAACAACCCATCAAGGCTCCACACCCAGCCAGTGCGGGTACTGGGCGGCTCCCTCACTCCCAGCCGGCTGAATATCACACTTCTCACTACCCCCTGGCTTAGCATGTTCATCCTTATGATCATTAAGGTCGTTTACACTCTTGGTAGAAAAATCAGGACCATAGAGCGAGGTAGAGAAAGCAGATCAGAAAGGAAGAGACAAATTGTTACTATATGAAGAGAATGACTTCCTGCACAGAAAAATCCGAGAGAATCTACTGACAAATATGAGAGCCAGTAAAAGTTTCACGGAGGTGCCAGACGTGAGCTCAGCCTCAGAATTCAGCAGCGTTCTCGTGTATGGCAAAGACTCGTTGCCAGAATGCAGCAATTAAACTGTAAGGTGTGGAGGGATAGTGAATATGTACCGTTCAGTTGAGTTCTCATTTAAATCCTAGCGAGGCTGTGCGTGCCTGTGTGTGAGAGAGAGAGAGACAGATCTCACTCACTGATTCTAAATGCGTATAAAGTGACAACATCCCAAGAACAGCTGGGACAGTCCTACAGAGGGAGGCAAAGGCAAGAGGTCTGCCCAGCAGATGTCATGACTTACACCACTGCAGACATGAAGGCAGTGTGCTCCGGGGCTCGGCCAGGCCCGCCGGGGCGCAGACACAGCCGTGCGTGTGTGGGGGAAGCTGGTACATAGCAGGGGTGACCTCGTGACTTAGAGCGGAGAGGCGGACCGGTCGCTAATTGAGGCAGACCCTTGGGTCAGACTTCACGCCATAGTCAAAAAATAAATGCATAATGGGTTGAAGAGCCAATGTGAAAAACAAGTTTTCTACTCAAAAAACAAATTTGGCTGGCCTACACACAGATCTGGCACAACTGATGCATTTTAACTGCCAAGGGTCTTTTTTTCATGCTGTTTAAACCTCCGTGTCCACAAATCCCTGATTTGAAGACCTGAACGTAGGGGAGGAATAGATTGGGATGCAAGAGGACAAGCAGGGCCTGGTGGACCCCGCTTGGTGACCTCAGGGCCAGCCACAGACCGGTGGGTGGTGTCCTGCCCCCACTGACTTGGCAGGAGAGGCCCTTTGCGAGGGGGTGGGGGCCTCGGGCCGCCACCTTGCAGGGGTTACAGCGCAGACTGGAAATTGCCCCCTCCTGCCAACAGACCTTGCTCCTCTGACCTGAGATGATGTGTCACAGGCCCGTGGTGGCCCCAGGTTTCTCTCTGGCTGAGGAGAGAGTGCTGGTTCTTTCTTGGCTACCGGCGGGGAGTCGGGTGAGCATGTCCTCAGCATCCCCGTGGCAGCCGGGGCCTGGTCACCTTCCAGTCCTGCCGCTTGAGCCAGGCTCTGGGTGACACTCAGGGCTGCAGAACTGGAATAGGCTTCAATGCGGCTGCCCCGCAGCCCCTCGGGTCCCCGTGGGGCAGCTCTGCATGTGGCAGGACCCCCACCCGAGTGGCCCTAGAGAGGGTCCCTGGGCAGCACTGATGGCCACGCTCTCCCTGCAGACACCATGCTGAGGCACCTGCGGGCCACGGACGCCATGAAGAACTTCTCGGAGTTCCGGCAGGAGGCCAGCATGCTGCACGCCCTACAGCACCCCTGCATCGTGTCGCTCATAGGCATCAGCATCCACCCTCTCTGCTTCGCCCTGGAGCTCGCCCCTCTGGGCAGCCTCAACACTGTGCTGTCTGAGAATGCCAAAGGTACCAGTCGCGCCGAGAACATTCCAAAGGGATGGCCCGGGGCCCGGCCCCGCCAGATACAGGCCCTGGGAGGCCAGAGAGCCCATGGCCGGCAGCAGAGGCCCCAGGGAAGCGGGATCCCTGGGGATTCCCTCCTCCTGCCTGGCCTGGCCGACTGGAGCAGAGCACACCTGCCCCACGGCTCCCCTGGCCAACTCCCTGTGGGCGAAGAAAGGCACTTCACCAGGTCTACACCCTGAACGGTGGTGTTGGCAAGGCTGGAAGAGCTTATGGTTTAGAGTCAGACGGGACCGCGTTCCAAGTCCTGGTTCTCTGCCATAATCCCGTAAATCAGTACCTCGTTTACTGGCCTGTAAAAGGAGGATGGTAATAGACCCACTGAGGGGGGCAGTTGAGGGTCTCAAATGAGGCAGCCCAAGGGGGCCTGAGCAGTAGCCTCGTGCCCACAAGCCCACCGGCCACGTAAAGCTCTCCTTTCCCCGGAACGCACAACGCGTGTCCACCATCGTTCAAACTCTGAGACCCTGGGGTTGGTTTTATCTTAATTTTTAATGAAATTTTAAAATAATTTTCCTCAGGAAATGAATAGGGAACTAACTTGCAAAGAGCTGACAGAAGGAGAGGGGTAGCAGTCTCTTGACTCAGGCAGAAGAAACGCATTAAACTCAAATCGTTTCTCCCTCAACGGAAGAGAACTTTTTTTTTAATGAAGCTCTTATCCCCACAACCCACCGCTTGACAGTAGAGCAAACTTGGCCTGCGATGAATTTTGAATCCTTGCCCTTTTAGTAAAAACACCAACAATTCCGGGCATGGAATACCATGAATGAAGCTATAACAATAAGCATCTCTCTCCTAAATACGGTTTTATTTCAGAAGGTCATTCTCTATCTCCACTGGCATCCAGCATGGGGAATGATGAGAAGTGTCCGTAGAGTATAAAGTATCTGGGGAGAGAGAAGGTGAGAAAAGACCGCTGTTGTAATGGTAGTTTGGTATTTTTTTCTTCTTTGCAAAGATTCTTCCTTTATGCCCCTGGGACACATGCTCACCCAAAAAATAGCCTACCAGATTGCCTCCGGCCTGGCCTACCTGCACAAGAAAAACATCATCTTCTGTGACCTGAAGTCGGACAACATTCTCGTCTGGTCTCTTGACGTCAAGGAGCACATCAACATCAAGCTGTCGGACTACGGGATTTCACGGCAGTCATTTCATGAGGGTGCCCTCGGCGTGGAGGGCACCCCCGGCTACCAGGCCCCGGAGATCAGGCCTCGCATCGTGTATGACGAGAAGGTACCCACAGCCCGGCCCACTGTCAGCCTGGTGGCATCTGCAGCTTCTGAGCTCTGTTTCCCCGGGCACTCTCCTCTCCCTCTCCCATGCTCGACCAGGGGGGCTCTGGCTTAAACCAGAAATGCACAGGGGTCTGTGCCCACCTACGAATGTCAAGGTTAACTTCTCCTTAGCTTCAGGAACAGTGAAGTCTCCGACCTCTGAAGTCTCTAACCTTGATTCAGAGGCAAAGTCAAGGTGATACACAGTGGACAATGAGTCCAGGACAGAAATGGGTCTGCATTTGGCTCCCAGCTCTGCCATTTAGACATATAAAATGGGGACAGTGGACCAGCCTCCTGAGGGCTCATGCGGAGCAGTCAGAATAAGGATGGCAAAGCCTCCTGGCCCGTAGGTGCTGTCCCCAATGGCAAAGATGGCCGAGACAGCATGGCCAAAGCCAGGAAAAGAGAGTGAATTCTAACAGGACAAGCGTGGACTCCCCGAGCAGCTGCATGGCCAGCCTCGGCCAAGATGTTAGCTGAATGTTTACCTTCTTCCCTGAAAGCTGTTTAGTAGATACAGGCAGGCAGACAAGCTGGAACCAGCTTCCAGCTAGTGTTAGCCCTGGTTCACCAGTCACCCAGCCCTGAAACTCCCCTGGTCTATAATTTTTCATTATTTGGTGGTTTGCAGATGAGTCATTGCCTAATTGCTTCAAGAATGACCTAAACAGCCTGTAGTCCCCATGCTGTACGTTATGTCCCCATGATATTTTATAACTGGAAGTTTGTACCTTTTGACCACCTTCAAATAAAAAAGGAAAGAGAATGACCCTAGTGGGGGTGCCTGGGTGGCTCAGTCGGTTAACCATCTGACTCTTGGTTGCGGCTCAGGTCATGATCTCAGGGTCACGAGACTGAGCTCCATTGAGTTAGGATTCTCTTTCTCCCTCTCCCGCTGCCCCTACTCCATCCCTCTAAGAAAAAGAATGACCTTAGCATGTGTGGGTTAACTCATCACCTGCGGCTATTAACCAAAATAGAAAAGGCAAATCAGAGTAATAAAAATAAGAGCTTCTTAAGTAGCAGGTGATACAGACCAGGCACCTCGAAACTAAGATTATAACAGGAACCTTCACATCGAAAACTCTCAGGTCTATGTCGGCCATTCTCCTGCTAAAACGTTACCTCTCGGCCCTCATGGAGGCCGAAACTAACTTCTCCTTTTTGGGCCCTTTGATGACATTAAAATTAGAGGAGTCAACACGCTGTGATTTAGGAGACATTCCCCCTTTATGATTTGCATACACTGCCCTTCTAGTGCCAAGCTCATTTAGCTGAGGGTCCATGTTCTCCTGCCTTTTCTTGAGTCTCAAGGATAAGGAGCATGGCATCCTTGGAGACCTTAACCAGTGCCTGATGGCTAGCAAGGTCTCAGTGTGTGTTTATTAGATGGATGGGTGGCTGGCTGGATGGATGCATGGATGGAAAGAAGGAAGTATGGGAGGATGGATAGGCATATGGACAGAAGAACAGATCATCGGATGGCTGGATGAATGGGTGGACGGGAGTATAGATAGATAAATATGCAAAAGGGTAGGCAAATGGGTGCATGGATGGATAGATGGATGATAGATGAAGAAAAGTAGGGGGGGAAGGGGGAAGGGAGGGAAGAGGGAAGGACTGGAAGGTAGAAGGCTAAAGAGGCAGAATAATGGATGGTCAGATTGTTGGTTGGATGTCTGGACAGGTGGGGAGTGATGGATGCATTCATGGATGGATTGATGACCGTCTCCCTTTGGGCAGGATCCCTGGTCCGATTGTGTCTTCTGCTCCCTCCATCACAAGGCCAGCTTATGAAAGCTGCTGGGCCCAGGCAGGGGACCTGACTTGGCTTGCCTCTTTGCCCAGGTAGACATGTTCTCCTATGGAATGGTGCTCTATGAGTTGCTCTCGGGACAGCGGCCAGCACTGGGCCACCACCAGCTTCAGATTGCCAAGAAGCTGTCCAAGGGCATCCGCCCTGTCCTGGGACAGCCAGAGGAGGTGCAGTTCCATCGGCTCCAGGCCCTCATGATGGAGTGCTGGGACACGAAGCCTGAGAAGGTACCTGAGGGCCCGGGGCCTGGGGGCCTGGCACCTCCTGCCCCTGTGGTGGAGGCTCTGGATCTCCAGAGTACATGTGTATGTCTACTTGCCCATCCTCACTAAGGGTCTAGAACGAAGGGGGCAACCCTTCTCTGCTCACCTCTTCTAGAAAGAGATAGATAGATATTGCTCCTCATACATCCAGCTTATTTTCTTTGCATGCGTGTTAGTCTCAGGAAAAATGAGCTCTCCTTTCCTCCCCAGCCTCTGTGTCACACCATCAGGCAAGCATAGCATCCCAACCCCTTTATGGCGTAGAGTCCCCACGCGAGAGCAGAGAGAATGTACGCATCTCTTTCTAGAGTAGTGGGGAGCAGGTTTGCTTGTGAGAGCAGGAATCATGATATCATTTTAAAGCTTAGCTGTCTGGGGGGAAGAGGCCAGTGGTTTCAAGGTTAAAAGGCATTTATCAAATTAGAGGGTGCGGATTTAATGAACTGGGAGTAAAATAAGGTCTGAGAAAAATTCCCCGTAAGGTTGTACGTCCGTGGGCACGGGGGTTGGAACATCAGAGTTTAAGCTAACCTGACCACCTAAGTTCAGGTTGCTAAGGAGAGTGATGACCCAGGCTGCCAGGCACTCTGGCCCCTGCAGTTGTCTTGGCCTCTTGTTTTGAGCAGTTCCTAGTCCTTCCTCCCTTGTTCAAGACCATTGGTTTCACGGGCAGGATAGGCATCCGTCTGGTCGTTAATGACTCTTGCTCACAGCTCCGGTGGCCTCTTTCCCTCAGCGACCGCTGGCCCTGTCGGTGGTGAGCCAGATGAAGGACCCGACCTTTGCAACGTTCATGTACCAGCTACCCTGCGGGAAGCAGACCACCTTCTTCTCCTCCCAAGGCCAGGAGTACATGGTGGTGTTCTGGGACGGGAAAGAGGAGTCCAGGTAATGTCCCGAGGTTGGCTGTGCCCTGCTAGTATCGGTGGGGGGGGACTGTGGAATTGGGGAGCAGGCAGGGATGACCATGGTGAGAAATGTCTAGTGGACAGTGGGTTAAAAGCCTGATGGAGTTCGCTCCAGAGAGAAAACTTGAGTCCACACAAATAGATAGGCATGTAGGCATTTGTGGTTAAAAGAAGCAAAGAGAAGATGGGGTCTGCCAGGGTGCATGGGGTCAACAGAGGGCTTTGCTTTTTGTACTTGTTTTTTTCCTTCTTCATCCCCATCCCCTATTTCACCCATCCCCCCCACCCCCCTCCCCTCTGGCAACCACCA